GTAAAAATTAGATTTCGAAAAATGTGTAGTGTGTATTGTCAATAATTTTTTTTATTGACAAACCATATTTACTACACATTTTTCGAAATCTACTTTTTATCAACAACTGATTAATAACCTTGTCCTCTGACAAAACCATCAATTTGGGGGCTTAGAAATGAGAAAAAAGGGGCGTCCCGCTGCGAAAGCATTTTTTTCCGGCCGCCGAGAGATGTTCGATGGGGCTAAGGACAGGTAAAGATGGATATCAAAAGCATGACAAAGATGACACCAGATGACTTCCTGTCAAGAATATAATATGCGAAACGCTGACGGCTTCAATAGAGGAAATTAAGTGTACCAGGTGTACTCCCTGGGAATTTTAAACCACACATTCTGTGAAGAATTAATACTTAACCGTGATTGCGCATATCCATCGTCCGCCTGCCGAAATATCATAGTAAGTACGCCTATAAAAACAACTCATTCAACAGCCGTCTTTTAATGACTCGATATTATGGTTGCGCAAAAACAGCGTAGAGTTTGACAATTTTTGATTGCAGACAAAGAAACGAAAAATTATTCTTTGGCTTAAATTTCCAACTCATGCGATTTAAAAAAGCCCACACTTCAAACTTAGCCATGATTAAGTTAAGCTTTTCTAGGCGTACAGCAGTTGACCCATTTCGAAAGGGTGAGCGCGGTTAATGATCTGTCTGCAAGGTTTTCTGGGACTCTGTATCGTGAACGGTGGATTCGGTGTAGCCTAATAAAACTACTCTTGCTAAAGCCTTAGAAATGTTTTAAGTACGATTATTTCCTCGTATTCATTAACACGAACTTGGAATTATTTTAATGGCCCTAACCTGCATACTTTTACTAGTCGATATGGGATTTTATTCACTGAATAGTTAAATGCCCAGACACATTTATATACTTACCTCTGTGTTACTGATAAAGAACCCGATATCCCAGTATGCTATTCATGGAAGCTGACTGAAACTATGGAGGCCAATTTTAATTATTTAGTGGCTATTGAGACTAGCACTGATACTGCATTAATGCAAAAATAAAAAAAGGTTATGTCTTTAGCACAGACCCTTGTGGCATTTCGGCTCCGATAATGTTGCTTTTTGAACATCTGTGTGCATAGTTTCAATGTCTAATAATTTTTAGAAATTAAATTACTGCGCTTCCACTTAGACCATAGTGGCCCAATCTTTCCTAGATGCAGTTATTAGTCTTCTAATTTAAAATCTCGCGAGATCCAGAAAGGACTCTAACATCTTCTCTATTGTCGAGGCCCTTGTTCGGAATTGTCATTACGCTGGGCGGATTCATTCAGCCTTCTTAGCAAGTAGAACAGGCCTTGAACTGTCTAGTAGGTTGAATTTTCAAGCTTATGATTAAACAGAACGCATTACGAGGCGACCAACATCAGAAAAAGGGTTTTGTGAATGTCTGAATGCAGACTCTATTTTTGTCATTTTTTGGCCACGGATACATTAGGTGTCACTTTCATCCTCAACGTTTCATTTATCTTCTGAAAAATGAAAAATGCTTATATTTATTCACTAGAAAAATGATAACACATTCTGACTGTACGCGGGCGGTTCCTTTGGCGCATTTTGCGCGTGCGCTACTGGCCTTCCGAAGCATAGCTATAGATTGACTGTTTTTTTT